GAGATTGGCAAGTTAATCATTTATAGCCTGCTTTCTATCCTTAGCGGGCTGTGTCCTCAAGCCGGCCCGAAATGGCCTGAGAAGTCAGATCACATCACTTAACCCAAATCTGAGAACTTTCCAAAAACATAACACCAAGGCCACAGTTCTTTGCGAAATAGATATAATCCATTTGAAGAAATGTTTGGTAGTGGTGCTTCCGAAAGCTTGGTCGAATGCCCAAATGTTAAATGAACAAAAATCGAAGAGTAGTTCTGGTGTCTTGCTAAGTTAGCTGGTCTTGAAATAATTTATTTATGCTTTTACTGATTCAACCTTTTGGTGGTGCCCTTTTAAGTTTAATACCTGATTAACTGTTAATTAGGCCATCGATAGGGGAAAGTTCACTCCCGGCAGTGGCTGACTCAATGGTGCCATTGTCTCTATGTTGGCTGAACTGGTTGCATAATTACCTTTGGTAAAGTTTTTGAAAGTTCAGGTATATGTGCAGATTATAAGTTTAAATCGCGTTGCTGCTTTCTCTAGTACCCGAATTCTAACATTCGACTTACGATGACATGTTACATTGAAACGGGGTAAATAGATAATTCTACTTGGCTACTGAACCCTAATCGATATATTTTAGTTGAAAACTGGGACCGCTTTACTGAAAAAAATCAGCGTCATCTTTGCTGAGACAGGTCAACTTTCGACTCTCTGACTGCGTCATCGGACATTTGGTCGCAGTATGTAAAATCTATGCCCTCTGCGCTTTCAGCCAAGTTCTCGAAATCGGAGAAATGCTACCGAATCTACCGTGTTATTGCATCCTTAATTGAAACTAAGTCTTACCTTCCATGCGGTCAGTTGAGGATCTTCCTGGCGTTCAGCAGCCTTTATCTTCATAAACTCCTTCAGTTTTCGGTCGTGGTCAATCAGTCGAACAAGTTCCTTCATCTCAATATTGTGCTGTTGGTTGTCCTTCTCAGCCTTTTCTGTCAGCGCTTGGATACGCTGCGCCGCCTCTTCTCTAGTAACAGCAAAAAGTTCCAGGTGCTTACGTCAGTATAATGGGGCAGAGAGCGGCACCTATTTATGAACTGCACCCATAAAGTGTTGCTGGAACCTGCACGCTGCTAGTCGGAGTCGAATATAAATCCCTTCCTTATCCTGGCAGGGCAGCGTTATAAGAAGCATCATTGCGCTCAAGTCCACAAAGGGTATATACTCCCGTTTTCTAGTCCCCACACGAACCTTAACTTCTATTGCGTGTGTATGTCTCCTATGTTTTCCTAAAAAACCCATGACCTAAGTGGAGATTAAAATTTGTTTAGAAATTCCTTTTGCGACAGTGAAAAAGCAATTGAGGCATCATCTTCAATTGCCACACATACCAAGCTAATTGGAAACCTTAGAAAATCTACAAGCAAACTTGATATGCCAAATTACAGTTGGACAATAACAAATAAAAACGGTCTCTCCGGCAAATCGTCGGCAGAAAATGATTTTTTCCTTCAGCCTTTTCCAAGAACAGAAACTATTTTCACACAGTCCTGCAAAGATTGTGGGAAGTGGAGCGATTCACTGTCTGGGGGAAAAATATGACGCTAAGTAGTTTCTAAGCCGATAAGATTATTAGCGGGATAGGTCAGGGCTCTGAATGGTAAGCCAACACGCACTGGTTCGGAGGGCAACTTAAAAGTACACGCCACGCTTCTATTAATAGCAATTGCCACCTAGTTGCGGTTTTATTTTCTATGTCAATGCGCACCTAAATACTTCAATCACTGTTCTAGGGGTTTCAGTGCATATCGCGTTCACGATAAATGGAGAAACTGGCCAGAAACGCATAGTATTAACATGTGAGACTTCAGATATGATCAGGACCAAAGGCACAAGTAAACAGCCTATAGCCCTGAGGGAGTCTTGTGGAAGTCAGTAACTTGGACGGATGAGACAGGGACACAGGTATAAATAAGTAATTTGAAACGCAGACTAACTGACATAGAACAACGGCTAATGCATGCCATATATTTGTTGGCTGTTTCGGGTCAGCCAATGTGCAGGTGGCTGTTTATTATTGTAGTCAGGGAAAATGTGTCGTTCAACCTTGTTTCCTGGATTGATTGCCTTTTACAAGTACCCAGCCAACTTAACCATCCTGTTAGTCTTTTCCCTTCTCAAATTAAGGCCGATTTGCGTAAATAAGTTAGCTGCGACAGATAGATTTTCCGGCTTTAAAAAAGACAGTCCAGTTCCCGAATAAAATAAAAGCGAGCCCTAGCCAAAGGCATCTATTTTCAAAAAGTCACCACTGATGTAAATGCACGCAAGCAATTTGGTC